ACAGTTAGATTTATGAGTTAAGGTTAGGGTTTAGGGTGCAGGATTAGGATTTTGATTTACAGTAGGGTTGCAGGGTTAAAGTTAAGGGTTAGGATTGGGGTTAGGTCTGAGGTTTATGGCAAGGATGTAGAGTTAAGATTTAGGATTAGGGTTTAGGAGGTATGGTATGAGTTAGGGTTATTGTTTAGGGTTAGATCTTAGAGCATAGGGCTAAGGTTTTGGGTTTACAGTAAGGGTGTAGGGTTAAGGTTAAATTTTAGGATTAGGATTTAGGATCAGGGTTAGCATTTACAGCAAGGGTTAGGGTTAGATTTACAGGTTATGAGTCAGGATAGGGTTAAGGGTCAGATCTTGGTGTATAGGGTTGGGTTTATGGTAAAGGTGTAGGGTTAGGATTGGGGTTAGGGCTAGGGTATAGAACTGGGGTTAGGGTTGAGGTTTATGGCAGGGATGTAAGGTTAAGGTTTAGGATTAGGATTTAGGTGTTACAGTTTGGGTTATAGGTTATGAGTTAGAGTTATGGTTTAGGGTTAGGGCTTTGGGTATAGGGCTAGGGGGTTGGGTTTATGGTAAGGGTGTAGGGTTAAGGTTAACGTTTAGGATTAGGAGTTAGGAATTAGAATCAGGGTTAGGGTTTACAGATTATGATTAGAGATAGGTTTTAGTGTCAGACCTTAGCACATAGGGTTATAGTATAGGATTGCCTTTATGGGAACAGTGTAGGGCTAGGGTTAAGGATTAGGACTAGGGGTTAGGGCTAGGGTATAGGATTGAGCTTCACAGCAAGGGTGCTTAGGGTTAGAGTTGGGGTTTATGGCACAGGACTAGGGTTAGGTTTAGGGTTAGGTTTAGTGTTGGATTTACTAGTCATGGATTAGGGTTTAGGATTAAGGCACAGGTTATTTTCTAACATTAGGTTCAAGGGTTGCAGGTAAGGGCAGGGTTTAGGGTCAGGGCTAACATCAGGGGTTAGCTTGAGGGTTCAGAGCTCGGGTTTGGGACCAGGAACCCCTGCTAGTGCCCATTCACCTTCTCGCTCCATAGGGCCTGGTTGTTGTGTCCCTCGGAGAACAAGAAGTCCTGGAGCAGCCGCAGCAGCTTGAGGGCATTGTGGGTGAGACCAGGTAGGGCGGTCGGCCCCGACTCCTTCAAGTCCGTCAGTGCCGACTCCAGCATCATCTCCAGCAAGCTGTGGGAGAGCAGGCATCTCCGTTGGGTGGTCCTTCCTTGTGGTGTACCCCCTGGACCTCGCTCCAGAGCTGGGCAGGACTCACCTGCGCTTGACCTCATCGGGGGGCCGCACCAGCTCGCACGCCATCCCCAGCTTGGTGAGGACGGAGAAGACCTGCCCACGTTCCCTCCACGCCATGTCATCCCAGCCCTCCACCCCGCGCCAGGTCACCGAGAAGACGATGTTGGTCAGGAGGTTGCACAGCTCCTCCTCGGGTGTTTGCTGCCAACAGGGAGGAAGGGTGAGAGGTCCAGTGCCCAGCGTAGCCCAGGGCGGTGGGCACGATGGTTTAGGGCTCACCTGGGGGTTGCTGGTGTTGGAAATGTTGTCACTGGGCAGTGCGTCCTGGTAGCTGCTCTCATCCAGGACGTTGGAGAGGCTGGAACTCTTGCGTGCTCGCATCCCTGGGAAGGGCTTGAAGCTCTCCAGGGGCGAGGGGGTGCCAGGGCCACTGGCAGGGGTCTGCGTGCCGCTCTCGGCCGTTGCAATGGAGCTGGTGCTGGCCAGGTCGAGTCCCAGGTCAAAGGGTGAGGTGGAGAAGGGCGAGAGTGGGTGGTAGACACTGTCGAAGGGAGGACCATCACCAGGGTTGGAGGAGGAGCGGCTGGCCCGGTCGGAGGAGTCGAAAGACTTGAAGTTGTAGGAGTGGAAGGACTTGGTACGGCCGCCTGGGGAGAAGGAGTGGTCGGAGAAGCCCTCGGAGAGCTCCTGGTCCGAGGTCTCGTAGCCCAGTGGCAGGAAGACGTCCAACTCCTGCAGCTCGGCCAGTGGTGGGCTCGTCCCCTCTTTGCCCGGGGGGTCTGAGAGGCGGAGGAACTCCAGGCAGCCCCCATTGCTCGTGATGCTCAGGCTGTGCTGGCGGGACTCGTAGGACTCTTTGACATAGAGCTTGGTGAGTGTGTCCTGCCAGCCGGCCAACCTCGCCAGCTGCTTCACCATGTCCTGCTGAGCGTAGATCAAGTGGAAGAGCTGCAAGAGAAAACCAGGCAGAGACCTGATCGTGTTGCTCCAGCTCCTGGTGATCTCTTGGGGGGGTTGGCTCCTCTGAGGGGAAGGATGCTTGAGCACACCAGATCCTCCATAACCATCATGGAGCGCTGGGATCGCACCACGTCCACATGCCGGCAGCCCCATGCGCGTGGTGTCACCACCATTCCCAAAGCCCTCGCTTCTGGGCATGGCTGGGTGCCCAGGGAGCTCAGCCCCGGGGTGACAAATCGCGCCCAGCCCCATGCGCCTCTGGCTGCCCTCACCTTGCGGCAGATATCGAGCCGGACAGTCAGCTCAGCCCGGTGGGACAGGTAAACCACGGCCATTAGGTCCTTGTAGTTGGGAGGGTCTAGAGACAAGGAGAGACATTACGGTGGTGGGACACATCCAAAGACACCCCCAGCCCCAAGACCAGCTGAACCTCGTGGGAAGCCACCAGCGATGAACCCATGGCATGTGTTTGGGATAGGTGGCCAGGGCCAGCCTGGTTTGGTCAGGGCACATGGTACCTGCTCCAAGGACCTGCTCCGAAAGGCAGCGGAAGAGCAGCATGGAGCCGGGGATGTCACTGAGGAAGGTGATGAGCCCCTGGTACCCGATGTCCTTCAGCTTCAGGCGGTTCTTGCTACGCTCAGGAACCTTCTCATACTTCAGCATCTTGTAAAGGACCTGGTGAGACAGAGAGAGATGGCCACCCTGCTGCGGCAAAGTCCCCGGGGATGGCAGGAGCTTGGCACTGGGGACTCAACTTACCTTGAAGACCCTCTCCCGCACTTCATCCGAGAACTTCTTCTGCACCAGCAGCGAGAAGAGGACCTCCACATGGCCAGGCTCAAAGAGGAAGGCAAAGAGCTGCTCCTGGGCCGGCGAACCTTTCAGCAGGCTGTGTATCACCTCTAGCGCCCCGCAGACCTGCGGGACACGAGGCCAGTTGTCCACCGCCCTCCACGTGCTCCACCAGCACCTCAGTGGCTTCTCCCCACCTGCTGCCAAGCGCTGGGCCAGCCCACGGCACACCGAGGTGTTTGGGGATCCGGGTGGCTCGGTGCCATACCTGCTGCTCATCCTGCGCCCCGGCCACGTAGCTCAGCAAGCTCTGCATCTCCTCTCCAGAGAAGCTCCGGCAGAAGAAATCCTTCACCAAGCTGAAGAGGGACGTTTGCACTGTCTTGATGTCATCGGTGGCCACGGTCTTCTCCCTGGAGGTGCTGATGGACAGACATGCATGGTGGGGATGTTCACCTTCTGCCCCTTGTCACCCGTCGCCAGCATGCTCCCAAAGCCCACCCCAAAGCCTGAGGAATAGCCCGGGGTGGTACATCCCTTCTGGCCAACCCTGCCCATTGGGAAATGTCCACCCCATACATCTGGGTCTCTGCAGGGTGTGAGCACCCCCAGCATCACAGGGGTGCAGAAGCGAATCGGGTGAGGCAAGAAAAGGGCATCAGCTTGGTGCAGAAACCGCCATGCTCCTGGTTGCTGCTGGAGAGGTGCTGGGGGTGGGTTTTGGGGCTGAGCGGACACAGATGGAGGTTTGGGGATGTGGCACAGCCACGGGGAGTGGAAGGTCCTGCACTCACCAACATGCTCCCACACCAGATTATCCCATGAGAGGAGGATATTGCCCCAAGCAAATGGCATCTACCCCAAACCACAGCTCTGAGGAGTGAGGCCCACCACCACATCAGCGTCTGAGGGCCAAGTGGCAGCTCACCCATAGTACGTCCGGATGGAGTCGAGGATGTACTGCACCCCGTACTTCTTGCGGATGCGCTGCTTGTGGTCCTTGACGATGTTGGCCAGATACTGGATGTGACCTGCAGGGAGAAGGCATGAGTAGCCACGGGGGCCGGCTGGGGTGGAAAACACGCCCCAACCCCTCCCCCAGTTCCCACCTAAGCGGACGGCGAAGTCGCTGTTGCTCCAGATGCGGAAATCGAAGAGGAGATGCTGGTAGAGGAGGTGCAGCAGGAGCCCGCTGCCCTCGGAGGCAACCTGCTCCATGAGGATCTGCGAGGCCATCAACGTGCTCATGTCGAGAAGGGAGGCTTTACAGCCCTTGGGGAATGACCCTGGGGACCACAGGATGGAGTTTTTGGTAGCCCCCCACACCTTCTGCAGCAGCGCCCCGATGATGGCCGGCCCGTGGCACTGCACCAGGCTCTCCTGGTTCACCGGGTGGTTCTGGATGAAGTTCTTCACCAGCAGCAGGAAGGCGGCCACGGTGTTCCTCTCCAGCCTGCTCTCTGCAAGGCACAGGGCAGAGCCCCACCGGTAGCTGTGAGCCCTGTGCCCACCTGAACACCTTCCCACAGCAAAGGGCACCCCCGAGACCCCACTGTCAACTTTTCTCTGCAAACTTTTCAGCCCGTTCTCCTATATCCCCCAAATTTACACAAGGGGAAAACCTCTGTTGTTCTGAGCTTGGAAAGAAGCAGCTGGGTATGGGAAGAAATCCTGTTTCACCTATGCTGGAAAAGCCTCCTGCATGATCCCAGTCCTTCTATAAGACATCAGAGACTCCACACAAAGACGAGCCAGAGGTAAACCTGCTGGAGCCACCCTCATCTTCCCAGAACTGCTTGTTTATGACTAATTGGGTCATAACATCATGAAAAGATGTCAACAGTTTCTCCGTTACCCCGTAACTCTTGGTGGTCCAGGCAACACCTCTCATGCCCGCAGTAGACACCAGCCTGCTCCAGAGTGGGATGGATCCCACTCCGAGCCCCTCCAAGATCCTCACCTGAGGACCTGCCCAGTGTCATGCGCATTCCTGGAAGACGTCAGCTCTGGCCCGACCAGGTCATTGGTCTCTGGCTCATCCTCGGGCTCCTCCTTCTTGGACACCACTTGCTCGAGAAGGGGGAGCAGCACGCCCATCCCACCCACGCAGTTGACCACATCCTGCCGGAGAGAGGCGAGAGGCTTTGCTGGGTGCTGCGTGGTGACAGCACACATCTGAAACGGGTCCCCAAAATGCTCCTGTTCCCCTGCACCACCCATGGTGCCCACCCTGGATGTGGAGGTTCTTCGAGGCATGCAGCTCCTTGGTGGACCCATGGGTCAGGAAGGTCCTTGGTGGACCCAACACCGTGTAGCAGAGTCCCTATAGGGTCCAGGGGAAGCACCGTGGCCATCCAACACCCCTTGGGGGTCCTGACGCTGCCCCATATCCCAGGAGGGGCCTAGCTGCCTCCATGCCATGGGGTGGATGGGCCAGGGTGGACCACCCTGCGTACCTTGATGTCCCAGTTGACCACCTTGTGCCCCGTCAGCCTCCCGTCCAAGCCGTGGCTGGGAGAGAGGTCCAGGCAGATGTTGTTCCTGCAGGCCTAGGAGAGAGCACCATGGGAGCATCTTCATGCTCCTGGAGATGTCACCTATGGCAGAGGGTCTACTGGTGCTGCCCCCTTGCCGTGGGGGGTGGCTCTCCTCACCTGAGGGGTGTAGTAGAGCAAGAGCTTGCTGCTGAGCTCCACCAAGTCACTTTCCAGTGTAAACGGTGACGTGACATTTGGTCCTGGGGGAAGAGGACTGGGGTGAACTGCGGCATGGTGGGGGAGACCCTGGTTGCCACCAGCACCCCTGCAGACGTCCCCTCCACACGTGTCCCACCCCGACGTACCCGCGCAGAAGAGCGCCTTGACCTGGGCTTGCTGCAGTGCCTCGCAGAAGATGGCCACGGAGCCCAGGTGACCCTCCAGCGAGGTGGGGCTACC